TACAACTCAAGACGGCCTGCTCAGGAACAGGAACAAGGAATCGGCATTCTTTCGACGTCGGAGCCGACAAAACTCACATGACCAAAACCATCCTCCCATTTATACCAATATCTTCACCATGATTGCCATCCGCCAATTACAACAGTCCAGGTCTGCCACGCTTCTCGAGTTTTACTAACACCCACTTACCTACCGGACGACTTCATCCGACCAAGGCGCCAACATCAACGGCCTCTTCACTTTCTTGCGTCGTTGACCATTGACTGGAAAAGAGACGAGAGACAGAGAAACACACGCACAGAACGGTAGACATCGGCGACAAACGACCGGACGCATCCGAAGCCAGCCAGGTCTGAAAAGCTTGAAACCAACCCTACCTATTTTACAACGACGAGCTACGTAACGACGTATTTGTGGTACCTTTCGCGGCGTATCTTTGCCTTTGGCTCCACTCTGTCACGCAGCACCAGGGCATCCACCCGGGCCACAGTCCACTTCACTTGGCTGGGCTCTATCAAGGTCCATTCACCTCACCCGCCATCTCCACCGATTTAGCTGGGCTTTCATTCGCCAGACCAGCACTTAACTCTGCAGCAGAGAACCCACTTGAGTTGGCACCGTACACCCGCACCACAATCAGAAGTGGAAGAGGGAAAAAAACCAAGCGCACACAGTTTCGCAACACCCGTTGTTGCCCGCACTGCGACTGGCTCCTCCACAGTTACATACAGTCCGCACGAAGCACGCAAAGAAGCAGTCGGCAACCAAGCACAGGTGCAGGTGGGAAGAATCCACTGGCGCGCAGCCCGCACCGAGCGCACCGCACGCACGGCACTCGCCTTTGATTTCTCCGCTCCGCTCAATCGGATTCGGCCTCTTGATTTTTTTCTCGCTTTTTTCTGGCCTTGCCAGCCCGTGCCAGCCCTATCGCGGCTTATAAAGGGGATTGAGTCCTTCTCGCTTTCCAAACAGAGGTTCATCGCCTCGACAATACCCTGCCGTTTTGAAGGCCTAAAGGGTCCAAGTCCGGGCTTCTGCCCACTCATTCAAGGCGCGCAAGCCGCCACCATCGCTGTTCCCTGCATAAGCGCAGTGGAAGACCCTCCCCCCCCCCCAGACGACGACCCAAGCCTACCCGTTAACGAACTGACCCAAGACCTTTCGACCCTACCTCATCCCACGCTCGCCCGTGTCGCCCGTCGTCGCTTACAATCCGCTTGCCCTGCCTGCGACTGCCACCATCGCCCGAGCTTGACCGCCGTACGCTATCCCCCACGGCTGCACTTTCCGGCAGTCAGACCAGCTACAAACAGCGCCCAGCCGTCGCCCAGCGCGGAAAAACCTACCACAAGAGCACTGGCCCCCCCCCCCAAATCACACCCACCGAGCGACCCGAAACCCGTCCCCCCTCGAAAATCTGCAACCATGGCGAACAGCACCTCAGACGCCAAGTCTGGGTCTTCACAGCGCACCTCACCTTCGCAGACCTCGTCCATCAAGTCCTTCGACCTCTCCTCGAGATCCCCGCATCTTGCTGCCCAGAACGGCCAGTCCGTCCCGACCGGCTCGACTGAGCAATTGCCAAAGCCTGCCGAGAAGGCTTCCGTCAAGGACCGCTTGACTCGCATGTTCTCGACAAAAGACACAAGCCGCGTTGCTGCAGATGCAGCTGTCTCGAGAAACACCACCCCGGGTAACACCAGCACAGCTCCATCCCCGCCGCCCTCGTCGAGCTCGAAGCCTGCCCCTCCGCAGCGCAAGATGTCTACCACCGATGCCAAGGCCAGGACGAACGGCAATGCGCCACCGTCGCGCTTCGTCGTCATCCCCGAGGCCCAAGGCGGTCACGAGCACCACCTGAAATCAAGTCGCCGCCAGGAGAAGCTCACCGATATGATCAAGGGCTTCCTCGGCAGGAAAACTGAACAGCCGGTTCCCGAAAACGATCTGTCTTTGGTTTCCAGCTGGGTCGACACTCTCAAACAAGAAAAGGATGGTCTTGCCTCCTCGGCAGAGAAGAAGGGCGCGACCACTCCGCCAACCACTCTGGTCGAAAAATACGGCAAATGCCAGGAGATCATTGGCCGTGGTGCCTTTGGTATCGTGAGGATCTCGCACAAGAAGATGGAGAACGGTCTCGGGGAGAAGCTTTTTGCCGTGAAGGAGTTCCGCCGCAGGCCCGAGGAAACGGAAAAGAAGTATAGCAAACGCTTGACCGCCGAGTTCTGCATCTCCTCCTCCCTAAGACATCCCAACGTGATTCACACCCTTGACCTTATTAAGGACGCCAAGGGAGATTTCTGCGAAGTGATGGAATTCTGCGCTGGAGGAGATCTCTACACGCTTGTCCTTGCCGCCGGAAAACTCGAGGTTCAGGAGGCGGATTGCTTCTTCAAGCAAATGATGCGTGGCGTCGAGTACATGCATGAGATGGGTGTTGCTCATCGTGATCTGAAGCCCGAGAACCTCCTCCTTACCACCCACGGTGCCCTCAAGATTACTGACTTTGGCAACGGCGAATGCTTCCGTATGGCTTGGGAAAACGACGCGCACATGGTTTCCGGTCTGTGTGGTTCCGCCCCTTATATTGCTCCCGAGGAGTATATCGACAAAGAGTTCGATGCTCGTGCTGTCGATGTCTGGGCTTGCGGTGTCATTTACATGGCCATGAGGACCGGTCGTCATTTGTGGAGGGTCGCTAAGAAGGACGACGACGAGTTCTATGCCAGGTACCTAGAAGGTCGTCGAGACGAGGAGGGTTACGGACCGATCGAGTCGTTACACAGGGTAAGTCGGATCACGGCAACTCAGATGAAGCAATGTCGCAGAACTGACCGTCATCAATCCAGGCTCGTTGCAGGAACGTCATCTACTCGATATTAGACCCGAACCCGTCCCGTAGAATCACGGCGTCCCAAGTTCTCAAATCCGAATGGGGCCGTGAGATAAAACTTTGCAAGGCCGGAGAGGAGGGCCTTTAACAAAACTCCGTCAGGCGGGCCCATAGTTGATGTTCTAGACCCACCTCGGGAACTCGCAAGGGCATCATATCACCGTCTGGCGGGATTGCGCGCATGATTTCGAATGGAGATTTAGGGCTATTCATTTCTCATAGGAATGAGAAAAAATGTTTACCCTTGAATTTTCGAGCGAACGATGCTAGGATCGCCGTACTTGACCTAGCACAGCGACGACAGTCACCTACCTACATACCACAACCCCCCAAAGCCTCTCGTTGTGTGTACTCATGTTGAGAGAGGCAGGAGATGAGGGGGATGATAGGAAGAAATAGGAGCAGCCGAAGGATGGGAATGATCCGGATGGATGAACGGACAGGATGGGTGGGCGGCAGAGATCTCAGGGAATGACATCATGCCTCGTTTCGCGTTTGGCCAGCATAGGAGTTTGGAGCACTCATGCATTTTCAGTTCGGGCCAGGGGCTCGCCGTAACTGATTTAACTACCCTTTTCGACCCTCGTTTTTTGTTTATTATCACCGCCTTGTGTGTGCGTCTTTTCTTTCTGACCAAACCACCACAGGTTATCATGGGCGGATGGAGTGGCCTCTTTCGCTTTCTTCAAGTATATCATCGAACTGGAACTGGAACTTCGACTGGTGGCCTCCTCTTTTTTCTACATTACATATCGTTTTCTACGTTGCACATAAGTCATCTTTAATGCTTTTTGTCCTGCTTGCGTGCCAGCGCGTGTAATTCTTGCTAGTTGGTATTATTTTATTCCCCGGCCCCTGGACATTCAAGCGAAAGAAAGAAGAGTTGGGGATAGAAACGGCTGGGGAGATGGAATTCAGAGGGAGAGGGCGTCTGGATCTTTCCTGTTTTGGCGGTTATAGACGCTTAGAGACTCTTCTCACTGTCACATACCGTAATAGAATTGTTGGCAAAAGGTATTGGGAAAAAGGCATGACAAAAGACGAGAAAGAGTCAATGAATGACCTGGGATTGACAGTTTGACTGGACAGGTTCAAGGGCAAAGTGCGAAGGTCAAGCCAAGGAAAAAAATACAGGAAGCCAAAACGGACATGACAAAGAGGTTAGAAAAATCATCACACTTTCAGGGCTAAAAACACCAACGTACGAATCCATTATCAATGCCATTACTTACATACCTCGGTCCAAGAAGGACAAACAAACAACAATTCACCATCATCCATCTTCGCGGCGAGCAGCGAGCAGCGAGAGCGAAAGGAAGCCAAGGACGTCCAAAGTGTTTTTTTGCTTGTTTCTCGGGTCCTTCCGCTGACTTCCCAGTGCTCCCGTCCATATACGAAAAAAGGGGGTCAGGGGCATACATCATTTGTGCGGTCTGGCGGTTTTAGTCAACGGTTACCAAATCATAATCAATGTCAAAAGAATACCAAGAAAACACCAAGACTTTTCTACCGTCATGATGTGGGAAAATCTTCAAAAAGGCCAAGGGCCAAGGGCCAAGGCTTTTTTTTGGGGGGGGTTTGGAAAATCCCATTGCTTCCGGAGCAGCTGGGATTGTTTCTCAGCTCAGGGAAGTCAGGCTCAGGGGCACACACACACACACAACTAGTGGTTGACCAGGGGATGGATCATGGATCATGGATGGATGTAGATGGGGGCGGGCGGACAAGCGGGCACTGCTTGCTCGGCGGGGGGCAGCGATGTCGACACTGACACTGACAGTGACAGCCGACAAAAACGGTTACAATACGGTATGTGTATTTATGGTGTATGTTACAGGAGATTACCGGTTACCAGCAACCGGTGCTGAGCGGGGTCTTGGCATTACTTTCGACAACAACTATTAAACTTCACATGAACGAACGTCTTTACTTACCGTTGAAGATCAAGAAAACCAGAGTTGACTGCGGAGGGATAACACACTGAGATACCGGGAACGGTGACGACTTATACGATCTTACGGCTCCCTCAACCGGCATCACCTCACCCATACTTTCACGAATTTCTCACCAGCTGCTTAACTGAACAACAGTCGGCTTCGATGCCACGATGAGGCTCTTTACCCCCGCCACCAGAACTATCACAGCCACCAGAAACATAACAACGGGGAGGTACCTCACCCATCCCACCATCTCTACGACACGGCTTCCTACGACTGCCCCAACAATACAAAACAACCATGGCAATCAAATAAGGGCCTACTCCTCGTCCTCAGGAGCAGAAAAGGGCACTCCCCAACCACCACCCTTCAACCCCGAAACCTACCTCCACCAAGCAACCAAAACCCTCTCTAACATCCCACCAAAACTCATACCCGACACCCTCCACCCTACTCAATCCCACCTTCTCTCTCTCGCTTTATCCTCCCATCTACCAAGCATCTGTCTTCCCGCGGGCTTCTCCTTCTTCACGTCTTCCTCCTCTTCCTCCCCATTCCCATGGCCGCAGCCTGAGCAAGCGGCGTTGCTGCCCGGGTATCATCTAGCATACTACCCCCTCCAAACCCCTCCGCAACTTTTATTTCCCGACGGTACAGACGCCGATCACTGCCCCGGCGCGCCCTTTACGAGGAGGATGTGGGCGGGCGGGAGGATTGAGTTTGGGACTGGGTCGGAACAAAACTTCAACGTGGATGGGAGGAAGACGGTTTGTGTTGAGACTCTAGGGACGCCGCCTGTGGTGCAAATTGGGAAAATGGGAAAGGAAGAGGAGCAGAGGGTTTGGGTGGATGTTTGGAGGACCTATGTTACTTTCCCTCCCGAGACCCCTTCTAAACAAATGGAGGAAGTGGTACGGGATGTGGTTAGGGATTTACAAGCTGCGGGAGCAGGAGCGGGAGCGGGAGGGCAAGAATGTGCCACCATCAGCGAGGCAGCAAAGGCATCGAAAGAGGGCGTAATCTCGGAACTCCGCCGTCTGGTTTTCCTTCGAGAACGCGAGCCAGGTTCAAAACTGGAACCAGCGAGGGTGATCCGCGTCCCCCACCAACCCGATTTTTCTTTCAAAATGACCCCCGACGCCACTTTGTTGTTTCAGTTCTCCGCGCTGACGTTCAACGCGCACGCCATCCATTTGGACCCGCTGTACGCGCGGGAAGTCGAGGGATATAAAGAAAGGCTGGTGCATGGCCCCTTGACGTTGGTGATTATGTTGAGGGCTGTTGAGGGGTTTTTGAGGGCCGCTTCTTCTTCTACTTCTACTGTCACCAGTGCTGGTGCTGATACAGACCCGGCCACCGCTGCTCATGCCGCGACCCACATCTCGGAGGGCATAAGGGAAAGGTTGTTCATTCCGGAGGAGGAACCGAAGAAGAAAACGCAATGGGAGATTGCAAGTATAGAGTACAAAAACCTTCGACCGCTGTTTGTGGGCGAGGAGATGAAGGTTTGTGTCAGGTTGTTGCCTAACAAACAACAACAAAAGAACGGCGTCGATGAGGCGGGCTTGGGCTTGTGCTTGGGTGAGCCGCGCAGGGAGAGGGTTGATGTGTGGATTGAGGCGCCCGATGGGGGGTTGGCTGTTAAGGGGACTGTTGGTGTTGAGTCGAGGTAGTACAAAGGTGAAGAGAGAGGTGAAGAGAATAGAAGCCAAATTGTGAGGCTAGTTCCCGCACATCTTATAACAGGGACAGGCGTGCACTATGGCCAAGTACGCCAAACTACCAAAAGTAGACAACATTCTGCTTGCAAGGCACAACTCGAAGTGCACACTATATAGCCAGTTATAACCCTGTGACACATCGCCCCCCTACCCTATAGGTCCCTGCTCTTTTCAGTGTATATATGTTTGTTATACATAATCGACCATCGAGTCTTGATCTGGCCGCTAACGTCTCTGACTTCGACATAACTCACTCTGCACCATAATTGACGGCGAAAAGCAAAGTATTAACTAACCATATTGTGTTCACGTGGGCCATCACATGTACATACACCTAGAAGCAAGACTCCTCACTAACATCCTGAACAATAACAAATAATAACGGTATCCAGTGTCCTATTTCCTATAATCCTACCTATATCCTAGTAATAACTCCTATCCTATCCTATCCTGCAAATAAACTTTCCCGTTTCTTTCCGACCCATTTCTTTGACCACCACACCGAGAATGTATACCTGCCCTTACCGTTCGACCGACTATGCCATGCCATGCCATACCCCCCATTAACCAACCAACCGACCGACCAGTCGACCTTTCAATAATGCCTTTCTTTCTTTCTCTCTTTCCTTCTTTCCTTCTTTCCTTCTTTCCTTCTTTCCTTCTTTCCTTCTTTCCTTCTTTCCTTCTTTCCTTCTTTCCTTCTTTCCTTCTTCCTTCTTTCCTTCTTTCCTTCTTTCCTTCTTTCCTTCTTTCCTTTCTATATCCTACACCTGAACCACCAATCAATCGCATCCCCCCCAGGTCTCCGATATGTACAGCCCTTTTCAGCCTTTCCATCCCCCATCTGACTCTGGCCATTACTTCATCCAATCGCCGACCGCCAAACACGGATCAAACTCTCGTCTTTCCATCCGCGCTCTCTTTCTCCTGGCTCTCTTTCCTCGCTCTTTGATCTCCTCCTAGTTCACCCACCCACCCGCCCATGCGCTCGCTCGCTCGCTCGCTTGCACGATATATGTATGTATGTATGGGGTATCAAAACACACTGCAGTAGTAGTAGTAGTAGTAGTAGTAGTAGTAGTAGTAGTAGTAGTAGCAGCAGTAGTAGTAGTAGTAAAAGATATAATAGTGAAAATCCGTAGGGAAATGAATTCCCCTTTCACTCCCTGCCAATATGGTGAAAACAATGAAATGTTGTGGCGTGTATGTATGTACAGTGACTGGAACCAGTCATTTCTTCTTCCCTAGAACTGTGACCCGCTTATTATGCAACCGAGAACCATTCAGTCTCTCACGTCGCGCGGGTCACCTTGGAGGTAGATAGATAGATTGTTGATGGATATGTGGGGTGACTTGAACAGATCAAGCAAAGCCGGTAGCCCCAAAATCCCTGATCAACTTCATAAGCTCGGAATCATCATCCTCTCCACCAATGATGGTACCGCTTCTCTTGCTACCGGTGGTCGACTCCAGGACAGCTGGTGCCGAAGCGGACGCCAGCGCCGAGGTGGAGGTAGGCCTGGGTGGTGGTGGGGGAACCATAGTCGGCAATGCCGGCGGCTGGAACGAGCTGTTCCTACTGGATACTGCGGGAAGCGATGGCGTGAATGAGCTATGTCTGCTGGAAACCGGAACCCTGGGAATCGGCGGCGGCGCCGTGGTGGGCGGGTTAGGCGTGGCCGGCATCGTCATGGGGCTGATGCCCTCGCTGCGACTGCTGCTCGCGCTGTGTTGGCTGAGGTATCCGCTGCTGCCGTTTCCGGTGCTGTTGGCGTAGATGCCGCTGTTGCGACGAATCTCGTTCGCGAAGATCGGGGTTCCGCCATCACTACCGTTGATGGCAGCGTCGGCGGCCAGCTCTAGTTCGCGCTGGAACTCGAGCATCGGGGTATCGACTTCGGTAACGGGATCGAGGGTGGTTTCGCTGATGTCGGGGAAGAGCGAGAAGGATGGGATCGGAGGTGGCGGCAGGGTGGGCGGTGATGGGTAGGCGCCGATGTTGTATTTGCCGGAGGCGATCATGGACGAGCGAACGGTTGCCCGACGTGCCTTGAGCATCGCAGCGGTGTCTGGTGCCAGTCCTCCTTGGCCTCCTGATCCTTGTTCGGTAGGGGACATATCGACTGCGTTTCTACCCGTGTCGTCAATAGGATTCTCCACGTCCACGGCTGCAGGCGAACCGGGCCAGACCTCCTCCTGGCCGTCAGAAGCAAGACCATCAAAATCGAGCATTTGTCCGGAAGCTTCCTCGAGCGCGTGGCGGTTCCGTCTGAGATAGCCGTCGAGTTCATCGAAGAGTCGCGACAGCACGGTGCGGAGCATGGTCTCCTGCTCCTTCAGTGGATCCTTCAGGTTGCTGCTGCTGCCGTTGGCGGCGGGATGTTGCGTCATCTTGCCCAACGACAAAGACTTGTGGCTTTCATGCTTCTTGCCCTTCTTGCCCTTGGTCGGTACCGTGCCGGTTCCCGTGGTGCTGGTTAAAATCTGACCATAAGGTCCTCGGTTCAAGCCCTGTAGCGTGTTCTTCCAAATGGCGTCCCTCTCCCTCCTCTCGACCGGGAACTCGATGATCTGGGTGTTCGTCCGCATGCTCTGTACCAAAAACTGGAAGCTCGTGCAGTTGAATTTGTTGTCCTGGCAGTCAAATAGCATCAACTGCCTGTTTTCGCTGATCACCTTGCCCAAAATGCCTGCATCCTCATGGAGGTTCTGATTCCGGATCCTGAGATACGTGAGGTACTTGTTGCGCGTCAACCCGATAAGAGACCTACCGAAGCCCTTGGCAAGTTGTCCATCGTCCAGCTTACCGCTGAAGCCGGAAATGTCCAGATAACGGATTGACTTGTTTTCGGCGAAGAAGCGCTCGAATACCCGGATAGCTTCGCGACTGCAGGTGCCTTGAGACGGGGTTGAGGGCGCAGTTCCGAGAAGGCTCAGCGAGGTGATGTATCTGGTTTCGGTGAGTGCCCTGATCAACGAAAGGTAGTGACTTTCTTCCCGGAACTCGATCATCTCCATGCTCAATCCGGCCGGGGTCTGCGATTGACGAATGGCGTCGCACAAAGCATCGATTCCGTCTTCGACAGGGTTACCGTTGAGACAGAGATAAAGTCCGTGATTCACACCGATGGCGTTGAACAGCTTGGCAGCTTTAGCTCCGGTGATGGCGCATCGGTTCAACACCAATTTCCGGAATCGCACAGGTACCTGGTTGTCGATCTTGGAACCTCTCAATGCCAACCACTCTTCAATCTCCCGCAAAGTAGGGATATTAAGCTAAAACGAGGTCAGCAATGGCTCCTGGCCCCCGATCTCTATACAGACTTACCGCATAATTCGAGATATCAAGTAGTTCCAGGCCTGGAAGATTCTCAAGTGCTTCGATGGGGAGCAATGGTCCAGTCATTTCGCCCCGAAGACTGCCAGCAAGGTTCAGTTCCCTCAGATCCCCAAGACTGTATAGCAGATCGGGAACAGTCTGGCACGCCACACGCCCAGGGTTACCGGACAGATCCAGAACCTGCACCATCCGAGGCCCATCCAGAAGCGGTGTGATGATCAAGTCTCGCAAACTCATGTCATCCAAGCCGCAGTAGGAGACATCCAGAGCCTGAATAGGGGCAGCCTTCAGCGCCTCAGCCAGCTCAGCGAGATCGGGCTGAAGCAGAAGGTTACCGGCAAGAATCAGGCGATTGCATCGTGTGATGCCAGCCTTGAGTAGCTCCAGAATAGGCGTGAGGAACTGAATGGTGGGCGTATCTTGACCGCTGGTCGAGACCTTGTTGGGGTAAGACTTGGATGCATTGGTAAAGTCGATCTGGCGAATGTTTTCGGAGCAAAAGGCAAGGGCATGAAACTCCTGGTGCAGTACGGGGCTGATCTTGAGGACCTCGATCTCGTCGGTTCCCAGAGCGACCACTATTGGAACGAAGTTAGTTATCAAAAAACAAAACAAAAAAAACAAAAAATTGATATCAACAAGCCGGCAAGCTTACAAGTCCGGCTCAACCAGGCAACATTTCCCCGTCTCGCATGGTGATCGCTAACGCTCCACAGCACGCCAAGGTCGATATCGCGAAACGATAGCGAGTTGAAGTAGTCGTTGTATCTCAATGCGCGCAAGACAGCCAACAGTTGGAGTGGTGAGTAGTTGTTCCCATCCTTGGCGGGCAGTAGGCGAAACTCGGGGGCGAACTTGGTCTTCCAGTTGATTTCCCAGTCGACCGCGGGGCATCGGTAGGCTGCGAGGTAGGCATCGAGGGTCCTCTTGACGCTTCCAAAATCCTCGCCGGCGGTAACGAGATGTGTCTCTTTAAGTCCGGTGACGTGGAAGATCTCACGACTCTGCCAGATTTGCGGCCATGCAGGCTTCAAGTAGCGGTCGACAGCACAGAAGTCACGAATGATGTGGCGGTAATAGCGACTCGCAAGTTCCAGTGTGACTGGCGCTTGGAATGGGTCCCTGAGTACGTGTTAGTGAGACGAGAGCCTTTCATAGGCAAGACAATGTTACAGAGAGATGTTCTTACCGGAATGTGATGTTGAATCTCTCTTGGTGGATGGTCCAATCGGCCTTGAAGAGTTCCAGAGTTACTAGACCAAAAGTCTTGTGCTTGCAAACTAGGTCGCCATTCTTGCCCCTCTGCAACTCGATGAAATAACAGAGGTGGGGTCCAATGACCAGGTAGAATGCTGGGCTTTCCTGTGGCCTCTTGGGGTCGTCCTCTTGCTTGAAGCCAGACTCCTTCCGGGTGATGCCTCGTGGTACTACGGGAAATATTTGCAGATTGTGGTTGATGAACTTGGGCTCCTCGGTCTCTTGAATCGTCCTGATGAGCTCGGATACCTCGACGGAGCGGCGCGCAAAATCCTTCTCTTCGATATGGGGCCCTCGGATGGTCTGAACGATATTATACAGCTGCTCATCTCTATCGGTGGGTAAATCAAAGTAGAAGGTGGTATGAAGGAAGGAGACCCCGGCTTGCGCCTTCCACCACACTTCCAGACCAAAAGACGGCTTGGTGCTCTCGGCCACGAATACGGACACAATCGAGGTAGTTGGGATGACGAGGATAGGTTCTGGCGGGGGGCCCATGCTCGCTGGTCGCTGGCCATCGCTCTGGAGCTGAGGGAACAGGGCGAAGACATCGGCGCGGTTCTTAACCTTGACGAGATAGTCCGTTGTGACGACAAGGTAAGGTGTCTTTGTCGTTAGTAGTTTGGTATCGGTCTCGAGAGCGGAAAAGCCCTCGACATCTTGGGTCTTCCATTCGATGGAGGCCGGAGTTGTTGTGCATGTGCTCAGGGTGTCGGCGACTGACATGCGACTGTAGTCGTCCGAGAAGCCTGAGCTTCGGCGATTCATCACCTCGAAGGGGGCCGAGACAGGCCGGGACTTTGACAGTTTGCGCCGATGTGAGAAGCTCGAGGGTCGTGGGTTGTGGTTGGCGCTGCCGTTGCTACTGGTGCTGTTCTGATGCTGGATGTTGCCGGGGGCAGGGCCGGTGACGCTGTACTCGAAGACGGACGAGTCCCGGCTGCTGTGAGACCTTTTTGTCCTGTGGGTGAGGTTGGAAAGGGAGAACAGCTTGTGGTCCCCCTCGACGTTGACGGAGGAAGAACTGGCCGGTGAACTCGGGATAGTAGCGACAGGGCTGGCCATAGAACGGTTCGATCCAGACCCATCCGAGTCGGTCTTTAATGGTAACAGGAGGGATTTCCTCCTGCGCCTCGAATCCACTGGAAAAATGGAGACCGGCATCATGGTCCCCAGCGAACCCCGTCCGATCAGGCCCATCCACGATGACGGTATCGGTACCTCTACCAGTCCAGCAGTCCAGCCAGTAGTCCAGCGGCGGGAGGGTTAGGACTTGGGGGG